ACAAGGGACAGATGGAGCGAAATAAAATGTTTGATAGGACATATTACCTTTGTGGAGTTATTTAAAAGGACTTATGAACATTTCAATCGAAATTAATTTTGAAAACTTTCAAGTTCATTTTATCTGTTTTATTCGTCTACAATTTCACGCTCTTTTCTCTCTTTTGTTCTTCAGGTGTTAGTTTTTTCATGAATTAAGGGACGTGACGTCTGTCTGTGGGAATGAAGCTTTTTGAAATAGGGGAAGAGGTATGTGTACGTAAATTAGTCTGTCACGGAGGGTGATTCTGGGTTATAATGGTGTCAAGAATTTTAGGAAGGGTGCGGCTATCCATCCTGATTAATGTTCAGTTGAGGGAAATGTGAGAGAGTCAGAGGCACGCCACAAAAAATTTACACCCCTTTTACCCTGATATTTCATCCCTTAAATCCCACCCCGACTTTGTGCTGTTTGGTGAGGTATCATAATTCTTGATAACGAGGATGGTTATCGGGATACCCCTTGTCTTGGGAGTTATTGAATACACCCTAATCAGCTACAAGCCTTTTATTTCTTATCTCAAATCAATCGCGGCTTCTTTCCACTACGGGGTTGACCCAGGATTTTTTTTTTCATTCATTTTCACTATGTAATTATCTTCATTATCCTATATTTCATAGCCATCCTTCCTTTAATTACTCCATTCCAATACCTCCACACGGAGAGAAATGTTCAGTAAAAATTACGGAACTCACAGTTCACTCACCGATTACGAAATCGATTCGGAAAATATAAGTGAAGGTATCCTAATTTTTCACGGGCAATTCAGATAAAAATTACAGAACGCTCTGAAAAAATGACGTGACGGTTCCGTAAAATTTCCTACAACTACATTTCGCTCCGGAAAAACGGAAAAGATACGTAATTTTTATTGAATAATTTTGCATCCGCGTGTCCACAAAAACAAATCATGAAAAAAAAGAGCTAACTGTCCGCATGAGTGAGCGGGTAAACAGCCCCCGCATTTTCCGGTCTAGGTGGCTCTCAAGTCATCCCACCGTTATGGTCTTGCCACTGAAGGGACAGTTTGCCGAGCTTTTCTCCTCTAGGCGTATAAGTAAACGTCCTCTCTCGGACTGTCTAGCGCCGGGGGAAAATAAAACTGGATAGAAGTAATCCTGTATGAGAGCCATAGGCTCCACGCCGTCTCTCGATAGGGCGTGCATCGCTCGAGGGGTTGGAACCCCACCCCACCCCCCGCACACGCTCAGCCCCTCAACCAAGAGAGAGAGAGAGAAACGAGCGACAGAGTGAGACACGAGATTACCCGACAGCTCAGCACTAAAAAAAAAGAGAGAAAAAAACTGCTAAAGTCGAGGGACGGTTCACCCCCCTCACACGTCGATGAGGGAATGTATGTCCTGGGAATGTCTCAAGTCTTCTCAAAGTGCACAGGAATTACCGAGACCCCATGGTGATTCTCCTTTTGCGCACGCAGACGATGAATTTTTTTTTCATCCCTCATTCCTCTCTTTTTACTCCACTTTCGGCGCTTTTGACGGAGCTGTGCGTGGATCTTTTACGGTTAAGCGAATTGCAACGCACTTGGCAAGGGTGGGGGGAGGGGTAACGGAGAGGTGGGCTGAGAGATGACAATTTTTCACCCCTTGCCAGCTGAAATGGGGGAGTGAAATGACACTGCAGGTATTCTTCGTTGTTTTTTTTCCCTCTGTTTTCTTTTTTTGTTCTTCATTTCTTTCCAGGGATTTGGGGGGAATGGATGAGTCATTTGGAGGTGGATTTTAGCGGTGTAATTTCATTTGAAAGTTTTGAGTGGTGGTAAGCCACGTGGCCACCAGATGCCTTGAGGCAACACTCAGAGTAATTAAATTTCAGGGAGAAGTGGAAGTGTTTTAGGATTTGGGGGATTTTGATGGAATGGTATTGAAGGTAAGATTTTCTCCTTTATTTGTTGTTTTGTGGGGGTGGAGAGAGGGCGAGGGTTGCCCTCCCTCTCCATTTTGTAGATTAATTCTGCTTTGATATGCATCAGAAGCTAAAAAATTTATCGTTAATTTAATTGTTTTTTCATTTCAAAATTTGACTTTTTGGTTCATTTTAATTTTCACTGTTGTGTAAATAAATGGGGGAGTCAATGATCACTCGACCCTCTCCACTGTTCACTGAGCACATGTGAGAGCCCCATCACTGGGGCATAAACGTTACGAAAGGGGGTGGAATCCTGGGAGATTCGATTTTATGGGATGTCTCCTGCTCCTCCCCGGAAAGAGGAGAAGAGTGATAATATCTGTTTGAGGGAATTCCCTGCAAATGTCAGTGAGACACATGTGTCAACAAACTTTTGGTCATTATCTGATCGATACTATTAATCGTGGAGGAAGAATCTAGGGAGTTGGGAATAATTCCTCAGGTTCGAGCAAGTGTAACTTCATCCATCATTTTTTTTCGTCACCTCGGTTGTGCCCTCAGGGGTTGATGGACGGATTTTTCTTTCAAAGAGCTAAATATTCATGAAGCCATAAAAAATGAAAATAGGAGATCTGGGATAAGAATTGCCTGACAATACAATTTTTTTAACTTCAGAATCTTGAAAGTAGAAAGAGAAATGTTTTTTCCTGTTATTTTCGGGGTTTACACGATTGTTTTTTGAAAAATCATTGAATAATTTCAACATTTTAGGTAACATTTCGATGAAAAAATATCGTGATGCTAAAGAAAATGGACAACGGTGCCCTTAAAATTTTAATTAGTGAAATTCCCACAAGTCCCTGAGTAGTGACTCAGTCAGCTATTCTGTACAAGCATGTAGCGATAAAACCTTCGGCGTTTCGTTTGGGAGAGCATAGCCACCCCCTCTTTATGTGTGTGTGCCAGCGCCCAGAAGTGGCAATTCTTTCTCTCTCTCTCTCTCTCTCTCTCTCTCTCTCTCTCTCTTGGTTACCCCTGGGGAAACTCTGGCGGGTAGCACTGGCTGACAGTGCGAAATGACATCGTTAATCTGGATCATTACTTTGGAAAGGGGAAGGGCAGGGCTTGGCTCAAAGCACGACCGGTGGATATTAAAATTCGACCTGCTATTTTCAGCAATTTTTCTTTATCGGAGTGATAGAAAAATACGTGATGCACTGGGTTCATCTTTTTGGATGGCACTGCATGACGTATTTAGAGCGTGACAGTCACAGTAAGTCGAGATGGTGGCGTAAAAAACGAGTTTACGATGGTGTCGCGTAACCCCCGAGGGAATCATACGACTGTGCACCCTTTAAGAACACCTATCTAAGTTTTTTTATTCGTAAAGTTTTGAGAATGGCCAAGTCAGATGAAAACTTCATACGAGAAATTTTTTTTTCACGAATTTCAACAACTGAGTGATATTTTTTTATTCTCATTCATTACTCAAAATTCAGCTACCCCTTAACATTTTTAATTTTATCAACTTCGTGAATAAAATGCAGTATTTGATTTTATTATTTGACATTCAAATGAGGTTTCGTGAAAAAAAATGTTTGTTATCATTCTCTTCTTAAAATTGTAATAAAATAATTCAAAAAATGTCATATAAAAAATGACATTGTCCCCCTTAATTATTCTTATCTTCACTATTTCATTCAGAAACTCGTGGGAGATGGGTCAACAGGAGGTGAAATGATCAATTAATTAAGCTCATCCACGTAAATTGATAAATGGTAATTTCAATCCTGACGGATGCTTCCTATTCTAATTTTAACGGACGAGCGCACAATATTCCATTTCCCTCAAATCCGATATTGAAAAATTCATGTTGCCAGTGGATGCAACCCACGGAATAAAATTTCCAATTTTATCGGTAAACAGGTACATCATCATGTATAACTTCAATAAAAAAAATTGCACTCTGCGGGATGAATCCACACGCGGGGTGTTTTAGTTTTATTTCTCACTCATGAATTTTCCATGTGAGCTCATGAATTGAATCTAGGTTGTACAGAGTAAATTTTTTTATTGGACTTGATCTTCTTGTACTGCTTGAACCCTGCACTTTATCATTCTGGTCTGGAGAATTTCAGCGACTCGTATTAATCAATATTCTGTATCTTTACAGGAAATAATTGTTGACGTTAACAGAGTGGATAAATTCGCGGACCAATTTGAGAAGAGACGGACGGAATTTCATTATGAATTCAAGATTTTTGTTGATAGACATTGGCCTTTAAAACTCGTCATGAACTAAATCTAGGTTGCATAGAGTATTTTTTTTTTTATTGGACTTGATCGTCTTGTACTAGTTGAACCCTGCCCTTTATCAATTGAGAATATCAATTTGAGAACAGACGAAGGGACATTCATCAGGAATTCAACATTTCTGTTGATTTGCATTCATCTCTGGAGCAAATGACATTATGATGAAATGTCAAGAGATCTTTTCTGTGGAGAATTGGATATCCAACAGAAAATATCTGACATTTTCCCTTAAAACTCCTCATCATAAATTAAATCTAGGTTGTATAGAGTAATTTTTTTATTGGACTTGGTATTTTTGTAAAAATTATTTTTTATAAAAAATATTTTTCACATTTTCCCCTAAGACTCCTCGTCATAAATTAAATCCTCTACTCCTCATCAAAAATAAAATCAGAGAATAAATTCTTGTGTCAATTTGAGAGCAGACACAATAAACAAATCTCAACAAACTCTTCCTGCGAAGAATTGAATTTCCCACTAAAAATATCTCCTGACATTTTTCCCTAAAACCCGTCATCACAAAAAAATGAAAAATCGAATTGTCGCACCTGAATTAATCATCCTCTCCGTAAAATTCCAATAGCTCAATTCACTTGTGCCACATGCACCGAATCGATCGCCTGAATTTTGTCTACAAAAGCCTAGACAGTCTCTAGACTCCACCAACAAAAATGAAAAAAAAAAAAGCTAAAAGAGCCTCCACCCTCAGTGCTAACCCCCTCATTGAAACTTCCCTCTCATCATTCAATGGCATTCCGAAAAATGAAATAAACATTTACCTTCTCCACCGAACGTCATTCTCCATTTAATTAATCTGCAGTGCACTTCACTTGAATAAAACTCCCCTCAACACACCGTTAAATAAAACTAAACCAAGAGTTCTTTAGTTCATCGAGGGCTTATGCTCGTGATAATTCGGATGATTCAAATGTCGAGATGAGAAGATACATCTGAGAGGGATGACATAGATGTACTATCGACAACCAAGTCTAATGCGAGACTGAGTGGAGTGGCCGGCGGCGGCACGCTCGAGCCCCCGATTTGCGTGACGTAGTTCGCGCTGCAACGGCGGAGGGAGAGGGTGGCGCTGCGATACACCCGCGTTGCCCGCGTGAATGCCGCTCGGTTTTTCTCATTGTACGAATGTATTCACGGTGGATGTACAAATATCAGGCGTCGTCAGCGTTTCAGGGGGTCAATTTTAACGAAGAATGAAATGAATGACTGAAAAAAGTCAATCAATGGTTTCGTAACACTCGGAGGCACATCTGAATCGATGAGAGATGAATGGCTGATTGTTTTCTCCCATTGTTGCGCCTTTTTGTTGCAAAGGGAAGACGGCGTCGTACCCCGTGAGTATTTTTTTGTTTTGATTTGTTTTATGGGGATTTTTAGGGGGTGGATTGATTTTCTAGGGTGATTCTCATGATTTTTGTGAGGTCTGATGGAGAGTTGGGACGCATTTTTCTTCTTGTTGAATCATTTCTGCAATTTGAAGGTTAAATTTTGTTGTAAACTGGGGATGGCAGGGGTGTGGCGAGATAGAGGGTTGAGGACTTGTTGATTTATTGAAAAGAGGTCTGCGAAATCGTGTAACAATTGTTGGATGTCATTCCTTCGATTACTGATGGTCAAAAATTTTTTTGGTTAGTTTTCCATTTATCTCGAAAACCAATGATTCTAGGAAAAAATGTCAGAAGGTATTTTGAGTAGAGAATCAATGGTCCAACAAAAGGGACTAAATGTTTTTTCGAATATTGTTTATTACTGAGAGGATCGAGTATTTAACGCAGTGCGGCGAAATGAATTCCTCAGGTCAATGCAGTGGTTCACCCATTCACTGTATTAATTGTAAATTATCTCGGGACTGAGGGATTTTAGGAGAAAATGTCACAAGTTATTTTTGTGGAGAATTAAATTTTCTAAACAAAATTTTTTCTCACATTTTTTCCTAAAGTCATTGATTATCAAAATAATCCACAATTTACCGAAACGTGAAAACTGTAATTCATGAGTTTCATTCATCGACCAAAAAATCAAACCCAAAGATCTTCTAGAGCTTGGAGTAAATCCTCCCAACTCCATTCATTTTTACTGCCAATTTCCCCCCTCACTTTGAATGAATTTGGCTCTCCATTTGAATTTTTACCGGTAACATTGACGAAGCCACAATTGAGCTTGCATTTTATCACGGAAGCCTGGGAGTTTCAACCATTGAATTTCCATGAGACTCCAATAAATAACTTTTCTCCATGGATTATTTATGCATCTGGCAAGGTTTATCCCCGCGTTTCACAATTTTTGAAGCACCGCCTGACCCTGGGAATTTGAGCCCTGGAAAACAAAGGGGAAGGCCTGTCCGATCAGATATACCCTCTGATTTTATGGCATTTTCGAGGGTCAGTCCCCCTCGATTATTCTGGCCCTCACTCCCAGTGGCTTCTTCCACCAAAGTGATTGTAAACATAGGTTCATGCCAAGTTATGGTTCAGATGAGAAAGCACTCCAAGTCAATAGTCCAGATTAAGATTTTTTTTACAGTCAACCGAGTAATTGGGGCTGGGGATTGAATAGTCAAACAGGTAATTCATAAAATATCCTTATCCCTTCACAAAATTCAGAATAGACATTCACCAACTCAATCCAGTAAAATTCACGTTCTTATTTCTTGCCTCGACATTTCATATTCCCAGAGAAATACAGATCTTCATCTCTCTGTATCGGTTGAGAAATCGTGGAGCCCATAATTTCATCGATTTACGAGAGTAGGAATTCATAAATCAGCGGATAGAACACTATCCTTGGAGAAACGATAATTGCAGGTACGGTAAATGCCTGGGTTTTATCCCTCCCTACCCCTTGGCCCAGTATTTCCCTGCTACTGGCGATGTTGGAACAACGCCAAGACAAATATCAATTTTACGACATCCCAGGAATTATTCCCTCTCGTTCAGACTTCACCGACTCTCCTAGCTCTGCCAAATTAAACGTCTTATCCGTCTTATCGATATTCAAACGATCAAATGGAAATTCTTATCGGTATTCTACGTATTTTCCAATTTTCGTGTTTCACGTTTCGGGGCTTCAGAATGTCACTTATTCCTAAACTATTCAATATCACGTGCTGTTCCTGAAAGGACAATTTTTATTCGGGAATATTCAGTACTTTGCGGGAGGGTATTGGCACAGGCAATTGAAATATTCATGATAAACTGTTAAATCGAAGTCATCAAATGTCACAAATGAATATTCATTGATCGTATTTTTTGATAAAATATTTCTCAGCTTTAAAAATGTTTAAAGCTGAGTTTATAGAACATGTGAAGTCTCTCCTGCTACGCTTTCATTATTGTTGATAATCTATTGAATTTTATTTATCAAAAAATCGAACACTCGACAAATTAAAAACTTGCAAAGTTCAGCAACTCTTCTCATGCCTTTGTGATCCAAAAAAACATTAAAAATCGTCATTGTGTTCCATAAAGTGTCGTTGCAACGACGTGATTTTAACGGCGTCATAATTCAAACGATGGCATAAACCCGCAGGCTCCTATCACCATCCCAGAATCTAACTTTTCTCGCCCACCCTCACTCCCATACGTACGCCTCTCTTCACACCGGGTACTCATATTCATCGCGTCGTTCGATGACTTCCGACGTGACTTTTATGTCTAACTTTATAATGCACGTGGGCTATTCAATGCAGCTTACAAGCCCAAATCAATCGATGCAGAACGGCTTCCAGACAATCCAGATTTATCATAAAAATCTGCAATCTTTAAAAAATTCATTACATCATCAAGACTCGAAAAACAATAATTTTTCCCTTCATTTCACCGATTAATTTCTCTTTTATTGCTAAAGAAAGTTCTCCAGATGTTTCAAGTTTCCTCACTACCACTAGTGTCCGAGAGCCATCAAATTCACCAGATTTGCCACTCAATTGAACGTGAAATATACACTTTATTATGCACATGATCATGCATTAGCCCATTGCATTTGAGTGAGTTCACTATAATTTTCTGATGCACACGCAATTTTTCCTCCTATTGACTGGCCAACAAACGCGTTACAATCTCTCTCTCCCCTCTGGCAGAGCTCAGACCACCGTACGCACTTTTTTCACGGCTCGTTGACTTGCTTCACCCCATCCTCTATGGCCTTCCACCCCAAACATTACAAAAAACGGGGAAAAAAAAGTTTGAACTCTGTAATTCATGCATGAACTTTTCAGCATTTTCTCCCCCTTTAAAAATTCCGAAAGAATATAAGTAAACCCATCATTTACGTTTTTTTTTCAACTTGGAATTCATTTTCTTCATTGAAGAGACCTCTATTGTTGGAGATGCCATTTTTTTGTCATATTTTTCTTCATTTACCGGTGACAATCCAAGAAGTCCACGAAGCTAACTTAAATGTGGCCTCTGAGGTCTCCTTTATCATTCTCTAGGGAGAGAAAAACGTCGGACAGGGGAAAGAGGAGTGGCAAGAACACGATAAAGATCCTCGGGTGTAAAACGTTGGATGAACTACATCTCAAATGTACGTGTTTTTACAGTCCTGCGGTTGCTCCACTCCCCTCATCTATGGTCTACTGAAACCAACGTACACAGGTGTTTCAGTATTTATTTGCGACCCTCCCCCCATCCCTCTGGAGGTCAAGCTGCCACCCGCAAAATCTGAAGCTTAAATCCCCATACATGGTGACTCCCCTTGTAATATCCATGAAAATGCTCTTGCCGGGGAGATTTATGGTGTCTGTGGGATCGTAAAGAAATCATCTCCGTGATATAAAAAATAATAATCTGGGTTTGATTTACTTTCGGAAACTTGAGAAAAATAAGTGGCAATACAACATTTCTCTTCCAAATTTTATGGTTAAGCATTAAAGAACAGAGTGCTCTGTCGACTTGTGGAAAACGCATCTCTCGCGTGGCCATTAATCTCTTAATGTTTCTCGTTAATCCGTTGATATTAAATCCGCAGTTTATTACTGTCTCTATATTCTGCCGGAGACGATGACTTTCTGTATGGTTCGGTAGTACAGAAACGCGGATATTGTAATTGGTGGAAAAAAAATGAAAGTTCTTTGAAGGAAAAGAGGGATTGCCATTGTTTTGAAAAACATGAAGTGCATCATGAAATATCTTTCTACCGGGTGGCATGAAGGAGACGGACATGGAATGATAGTATGGATTACCATTGTCCAGTGGATACGAACTAAACCGCACGCATGGTTTACAAAAGGGAAGAGAGTACAGTGATTCTTTGGGCGTTCGTCCAAAGCCCTTCCACGTCTCTTCCAGATGACTGCGATTCAAACTGGTGAACTCAATTTCGCCTACAATCGCATCACGATTCCATCGAGAAAAGAAAATAATGGGGTAAAGGAGAAAAAAAGGAATTTTTCCTCCGCATCCAGAGGGGGGGTTATTGAAAGGAAAGCAAGTGACGACTCTTTGTCGATCCTCATATTTTTTTGTTTTCTTTTTTCCAGGCTTCGTCGAAAGGCAATGCAGAAGCAGAGAGGGAGGTCGCAACTATTTACATCGATATTCGATTGTCGATCCCAACTTCTGGGCTGAGCCATCAATGTCGTCTGCAGTCGGTGAGTCAGTGACACTTTATAATGAGTTATGAGATATTTTATTGCTATAATCCGGTAAACCCCCGAAACCCAACGAATCGTTTTATTGTCCTTTTCTTCAAAAAAACATTCGGACACGTTTAATTGCCTCCTCGGTACTTCCAGTACCTCGGATCCCTAATCCGGTATTTTTCCAACGCCAGGTTTCCTTGAATGGCCTGACCGATTGGTCAGCCCACGTTGGAGCTCTCTCCCACTACTCTCACCAACCCTTACTAATCACCGTCAGAGGACCGTAACTCCAATTTCTCTGTATTTTAACTGAACCAGAATTATTCGCACCATCTTAGTAGAAAGACCTAATTAAGGAGATATCCACATTGATTCAATTACTATTTATATTTTAGTTCTCAAAGTAGAGATTCTCAAAGTAGAGATTCGTTTTATAGTTAAAGTAAATTGGTGTCTTTAATCCGGAATCCAACTGTATGAATTAAAAAATATATTGATAATCAAACCCGATTTTCAAAAATGACGAACAAAAGCTATTTTCAGTTTTTTTAAATACTAATTGTTAAAAAACAAAAATTTCGCCCGACGTGGGGCTCGAACCCACGACCCTGAGATTAAGAGTCTCATGCTCTACCGACTGAGCTAGCCAGGCAATTGCGCGATGCGCGATTTCCAGTCTGAGTTTTCCCCTCATATATTAATGCGAAACACCGAGCGAAAAAAAACTACGGTTCAGCTGAAACTAGAAACGGAAAGCAGCCGAGGTAACGCCTTGGTTGGGCCGACGTTGGCCTGCCAATGGTCGACTGGCATGTTGCCAACTATTAGTTTGACTGGTAGTCGAGTGAATAAATAAAAGACATTGAGATATCGACAACTTCTTAACAGACGAGCGGACCGATATACTACTGTGGCAGCAATTCTTCTATCAAAGAAATAGGATGTCCCATTCCGAATTGACGTTTTACAAATCTGGAATTAGTAAAAATAACACCAGCCTGGTTATTGAAATTACAAAAAAAAAATCGACGAGGATGGGATTCGAACCCACGCGTGCAGAGCACATTGGATTAGCAGTCCAACGCCTTAACCACTCGGCCACCTCGTCTGAATGTCGAAATTTCGACCACCAAAGCCTTTAAAAGCTCCCGTCCCTCCCCGCCAGACCTTTCACCAAAAAATCACTTCATAGTGCTTCACCATCAATTATAAATAATAAAAATCGATACCCGAACTTCCTGGCCACCACCTATGCCAAAAAGTGAACATAACCAGGAATAACGAAGCCACATCTCATCTCAAATGAGATTAAAGCCGATGCTTGAAGCTGAGAGTTATGCAGAAACTTTTATTGCAAAAGTTTGCATTTACTGCTAGACGAGGTGGTGAGAGTAAGCCAGCGCTCAGCGGTATTGAACATAGGGAAATAACATGTGTTGATGTTCAACGTTTCTGTCCCCAGTATGTTACGAACTCTCGAACAACGCAGTTATTTACGAGCGATATTTTCACACCAATATGCTTCACACACACCTTTCTCCATTGTTCCACAAAATACGGGGATGAGATTTGTAAAGCCACACTATGAAATCTCAATGACATTTGCACTTAAATCCCTTTTCCCACATAAAAAGTACCTCTGTAGTTTTGAATGGTGAATAATGCATGAGATATTCTCAAATTACATCCTGAAGCCAACGATTCGACTTGATGTCATATTGTTTACACATATACAGCAAGCTTCAAACCTTTGTAAATAGCAATGATTGTGTGACTGATTGGAATGGACTTGACAGAACTATTTCTGCCGACGGTCCAGCGCAAAGTGAAAGTTGCTTGACTTTTCTGTAGAGATCCCCAGTCCAGGTCCATATGTTTCCACTGACGCACTAAATTTCTGATGTCATGATCTCCATCGTCATCTTGTAGCGATTGTTACAACAGAAATATGAGAAGAATGACAACGTGGAGATATCCGCTTCTTTCGGATAAAGAAAGTGCCACGTATACCTCAGCTCAACTTCGTTAATTTGCCAGAGGAACTTTTTCCGCGTTTTATGCGACAAGATTATACCGCGTTTCTCGAGAAAACACGTAAGAATACCAACGAAATATAGTGAGAAACATTTTATTGCGTAAATGGTTGAACCAGTACACTGCAGCCCCTGGAAATGGGATTAAGTGGGATCCGAAATTCCGGTGGATAATCCCAACACAAAGCTTGCAGAGTTCTCTCACTTCTCTTTACGCAATCCTCGGACTCCTCTTAACTTTGCTTGAATTGGGTATACACATATATCTTCGAAACAACAATCCTCAACTCTTGAATTCAAAGGTGGTCATTAACATAGTTAAGAAACTGTTTATTAGCAATTGGTCCGATATAACTTCCGTACCGAGTGAAATTCTGGTGAAACCATGGGAAAGAGTTCTGTCGGGATATCTTTAACGGAATAATTCGTCAGGTTCAGCTGCTAGTTATTTCACTTGAAGAACGGAGGGGTGTCTTTAGTTGTTGAACTTGCATTATTCGGAAGAGATGTAGTTATTACATCTGTAATAGTCGGTCGATGGGTGGTACGTGTTATACTTTCAGTAAACCCGCGATATGTGGTACGTTTGACGGATCTCCGTTTATATTCCTTGCGATATTTGAAGAGATAAGCCAATTTCGCATTTTCTCCCTTAAGTTTATGTATGACCGAATAGAAGAGATGGTAGAACCCGGAAAAACGATGCTCATGTTTTCCCCTGCCCAGTAGATTCTCGAGTGTCCTTCGTTCCTCCAAAAGCTGATTCACAAGCTGAAGTTGATCGATAAATCCACAAACGTCTGTAGTGATCGCAGATAAATCTGCACAGCACTGTTCAGGTGTTGGCTGATGGCGAGGTGCCTCGTCGTCGGGATGAAATCCCTCCGAGGCATTGAGAGACCCGTAGTATCGTTAAAAGCTTCATTGAGTCAAGATGAAAGGGATTTTACAATAATTAAATTCGCAGCGGTATCACAGAAGTCCTCTCAATTTTCCAACACTGTCGCCTCATTCTTTTACATTTTTTGTCTGGAATTTTTCTCACCTTGGGCTATTTCGTGGAAAGTTCTCCTGTGTGATTCCGTCGGGACGACTGCCTTTGCCACGTGTCTTACGCCTCGAGGCACCTGAATTCAATGCGACATTCTCTTCTCGAGTCACGTCTTTCGTATTCAGTTTTTCCAATACTGGATCTGAAAATACTCCACTTCATTTTGACTGTATTTGATATTCTAGGAAGAATAGTCATTCTGCTGCGTTGAATTCGCACCAAGGCGTTACCTTCGAGTTCTCTCGAGATTAATCTCGCTGAATGATGGTCCGAATGAGGCTCGTTTGGAATACCATCATGGTCCTTGTGAGAGGAAACTGACAATCCAATAGACCAGAGGACACAGGAGGCCAGAAATTCGAATGCGTGAGTTCCGCATTGTCACCGGGAAATTGACTGAAGCTAAAATGCAAGGCTTCCAGGTTTATTGCCACCGGTTCAATACCACCTTAATTGCCACCGAGTCAGCTTTTACGGTGGTTTTTAATTGCCCCCACCCACCCGAATTAAACATTTTTTAATGGACTATTGTTTGAGGGTGACAGTTGAAAAACAAAACAATTTTTTATTGATTATTTGATACTTTTTATGAATGTTAAACAGTTAAATACTTTTTAAATTTTCTCGATCCATTTTCCTGGCCCTTTACTTGTCGACGAGCGCTTTTCAGGGCTTTTTGTTTCACGACTTCCTCGGAAGAACTGTCCGCAGAATTCCAATAATCCTCGCCATCGTCAGAATCACCTTTCCATGCATCGTCGGATTCTGACAGTCCCCGGCTAGATGGCTTATGATTGGCTAAAGGTAGGGGCTCGATCCTCTCTTCAGATGATTCTGAAAATAAAAGTGATCGATTTAGCAGGTTTACGTGAATTAATTGCCGCATATAATCACCTTTACTCTCCGAGACCACCTTCTGCTGAAACCTCCGCTTCGCATTATGAACGTTCTTCTTCTTGCTCGCACTCCTGTATTTTGGTGCCGGTTTCATGAGCTCCACTTTATAATCTGAAGTCTCAAAAACTTCTTTAACTTCCTGACCCTGCTCGTTCATTAGCTTTCGTCCACTCTGAATAGACGTCGCATCAACCACCTCTCGATCAATTGTAGTAGGAATATCGGGGACATGAGTCATAGCAAGTACAAGACCATCGTGAATGGCATCAAGGAAGTCCGTGAGATTTAAATTTTCCGAATATAGTTTTATGGGCAACACCTGCGAGTCCCTGGAGCCGGAATTTTCAGGGTGACCCTGAAGGAGCGCCTCTAAGGCGTCTATTCTGCTGACCACATCACACAGATCCTTGTTTGTCTTCAGTAACTCGAGTACACACTTTCGTGACCAAGCTTTCTTGATTAAATGTTGAACTTCGCCCTCATCGACAGAGTGGATGTCTCTAATCTCGTCGGAGAAACCAGCATCTTCCGCTGAGTTTCCGTACAAACTCTTTCGAGTCCCTGGCTCGTGGGGAATCTGACCGCCACCAACGGTAGCGTCGAACAATTTCTGAACATAACCCAAGAACTGAACGAACTTGCCAATGGATCTGAGAACAGCTTGACCAGCAACATCTACCAATTCAACTATTGATGAAGGCTTGTTGATGTAGACTGTAAAGCTGAATTTTCTCTTGCCCAATCTATTCGCAATCAGACTCTGAAGATGCGGCAACATTTCCTGAAGCTGATCAATCTTCCAGGCTAGTTCACAAACTTCCACATGTCGCTCCGCCAGAGACAAAGCGCAGGTCACCGTGCTGTTCACTGTCTCGCGTTCACTAGAAAGTTCATCTTCAATCATCTTCAATATCTGAAATTTCTCCTTACCTCTTTCCAAGTAATGCAGAGAATAGGTACCTTTTCGCTTCAATAGGAGGGATAAACGAATCTGAATCGGCCCGTCTCATCACATTCCTCTTCCGTGAAGACCTTCTCAAGCACTCAACCGTCGTCGATAAATCGACGAGGATGAGCGCCAGAGACAAAATCACAATGTGAAGACTAAATCGGTTCTTTCGCTCCATTACCACCAATGAATTTCACTGCAGGTCCATTCCAACAACTCCTGCTTTTATAATAAAACTCAGTGGGAACCAATTCAACGCTTTTCATTCCGAATTAAAGCAGTAACAATACTATCGGAGTCCCGCCGCAATCAAGTTATTGAAACTGCTCAACTTTATTTGGTCAATCATTCTTGTGGACGACAGCTTCTTCATAGTGATTTCATTAAATCTTTCATAGAACCACACAATAGGAGCCTTCGCCAATAAATTCGCTGAATAATTAACGTTGATTTCGAATATAAAGAGAGCTCTTATCCCCGAGAATTTCCCCATTCGCTGAATTTATCAGCAAACCCATCGACAAGCCACACCTCGACGCTCCCAAATCACGGACTCCCAGCCGATATGTATCACAACTCCAAGAAATTCTCGGCCCGTTAATCGCCTCTCCGTGACTCGCTCCGCTGATTTCCCAATTCCACTTCTCTCTGTCCCTGTTTTCCATAATTAAACAAATGCATTTAAACCGTCGATTTTTCCCCAAAAATTTGAAATTCAAATATCTGAAATTGAAATATGATGGAAAGAGGAAAATCAGAGGTGGGATAGCGCGGAAGATCGATAGGGCGTTGCACCCCAGTATGTTCGGTTCACACCCTGAAATCAATTTGTTTTATCGGCCATAAGAGGGTGCGGAGAGTTCCCTCTCCAAAGTACAGTACACGAGGATGGTTGACACAAGTACATAATACGATGGTGTCGCCATTTCAGTAGTACATTTTTTTTTGCAAATCGAGAGCACGACTTAGTCCCCAACCTCCACCTGTATCGATAAAGGCACTTTCACTGGCTTAAACATGGTGGCACTATATATCAGGATAATGTAATGGTTACTTGGTAAAACGCAAAGGCGCCACGTAACCTACCCTGGCGCCTGCACAGGCTTCTCTATATGGTCAGGCGGCTACGATCACCATCGATCATTCTCTTATTCTCTGCTATCTTTTCACTCGGGACCTCTTGTACTGGTGCTCCACATTGAATCATTCATCATTAGTTTATCGCAGCTTATCTTATTCTCATTAACAAGTTCATTTCTCTTTTGATAAGTCAATATTGGTAATTTGGCTTAATTGACAAATCTCACGATTTTTCAGGATCAAAGGGATTTAAATATACTGCAAATCTTTGGGAGGTATTAATGTACACTTATGCCAGCAGGTGTTAGTGGTTGGAAATGAAAATTTAGGGAAGTGGAATTTCATACGATTTTATATCATTCGATTTTAAGATTTAGATTGAATTTTAAGGATCTTCCGTGGGAAAATTCGGGCAGACATACTTGCAAATAATTTAATACCCCGTTGGGAATGATCCATCCCTTCCTCATAAACATGACAATGAGAGTCATCGACCCTCGTATGAAAAGTGGGCACGGCCCACTCACTTCCTGCTGAGCAATCTGAATGTCAAAATAATAAACCACAATATTTCATCATTTGATTATCACATTCGGGGGGAAAATCCCTCAGAAGCTTTTCATTGCACAATGTTCAGACAGTACTTTATACATTGTGTTACTAAAGTACTTCAGTATCGTATACAGGCGCTATCTCAGCGATAATTTAACAAATATAAATAGTGGGTGAAACGCTTATGCGAGAAAGACCCGAGTAGTTACGTGGCTGCAAACAAGCCCGCAATACAAATGCCCTGGAGCCGTTACATTAATGCAGAATACGTATCTGTGTAAATATAAATGTATACATAAATGGATTTAGATAATATCCTGGGCATGTGATCACGACAAACCCGTGGTTAACACGAATGCACGAGTTTGACTTGTGGATGGTATTTCCGATGGAAAACGAGCAAATGGCATTCGAATCGACAGATGCCTCGTCAATTTTACATTGCTTGCACTCGTGCACATGAAGTATGTGAATTAATTAATAGGGGAGCGATCAAAATGTGTAATTTCGTCCCACTCCTTTCACCAGTTTGGGAAAATAAAGGATGATGTCATCATGCGGAATTCCATTCTTTCCAATCAACGATATTCACATTTGATGACTTTGAAGTAACAATTAATCATGAATATTTTGATGAGTAATTGAAACAGTATTCAAGCCAACTCCATATGCTGAATTTCGTACGGAATTGAATAACCACCAAGTTCAACCCCGAGCCAATTAGAGACTCACTGAACAAGTACTCTCCACTAGCCACAATAGTTACAACCTCAGGGATTTGATGGGCGTTCAAAGTGTAGAGAGACTCGTTGAAGCATTTGAGTAGAAAAATATGGAGATAAAAAGAAAAGACAGTTGTGTGAAAATAAAGGATAAAACAGTCCATAGAACTGGAAATCTCTGTACCTGCGGCACACGTCCGGTGGAGCTTGCGTCTGTCTACGAGGCAATGAATATTCATGCTAACTTCCCGGAGGGATGTCCCTCAATGATGAAAGGATTCTCTCAGTGTATTCGATTCACACAGTCTTCCACGGTTTAATGAGATTTATTCTTGATATCGGTAAATGGATGATTCTATTTTTAAACTCTTTATTGGGTGTTAACTTCCAAATGTCAGGTTACAGGAATAATTTTAATCTCAAAAGGCCGAGTCAATACTTGCTGCTTTTGGCTTATATTCACTTAATGCCAAAAATGGTAAGAACCAGTGCAGTAATGCCACGCGATATTTGGAATGGCGTGAATAATCGCTCGTAATTACTGTTTCCAAGCCAACTCGCATTAAACCAGTTGACCTTCTGGAATAATCCCTTGGTTGTGTGGCAAAAAATTACCGTTACGTGCAGTTGGAAATTCTGGCCCGTGTCCTTTTCTCCTTTGGTATCGGGCAAGGATTAACGATACATTAAGTTCGAGGTTCATGACTCTCTTGAAAAATAAATTCAATTGCCACATTATTTTTCACACTCTAAATTTTCTCAACAGTGCATTAATTTCAATCATTAAAATTTCCCAAGAATTCATCACACTCTTGAATCCCTTAATGATTGAATAAAATTCCCTTAAAATATGAATGATTTCCCCAAAAACTTATTCTATGCATTTCAAATATCTCGGGGCGGTTTACAAGTGCTGAGAGCCGGATGTGCACACTCCCAAACTAGCAGCTGTTCCTCTTCGCATGTCGCATCCTCTCAAAACTTATCCCCCCACACCAGACTCCCCGGAGACATCCTCTTTGAGACGCCAGAAACTCCAAAAAAAGTGGTGAAAAAAAAGTACCCCCGCGAATAAATTAGAGAGAAATTTAATATAAAATTTTTTTGAAAAAGGTAATTGCGGACGGAGCAGGTGAGGCTAATGGTTTATATTGCGAAAGAGTCTGATACACCACGCCCCGGTGTTGCTCTGGCGCTTAAATGCTGGGTTTAATTAAAGTCAGTCGTCGACTTCGATGTCCAATAACCACGTGTATCTCTGTCCTCCCTTGGGCATCTGTTCTCTCACTTCAGCCAGTGCCTTGTGCACGGCCACCGAACCCACTGAGGGTTTACACGTTGTGTCGCATAACTGGTGCAAACTCCATAGAAGTGTTATCAACTTATCAGTTGTCGTTTACTCTATACGACCAGAGACAATGCCAGTCAGGTTGTGAAGCGTATACTCGTCAGATTCACAGCTGCTCATGGTGCATCTATTGAAGGGGAAATATGTGGGTCACTATTTTTTGTTTGCCATGTTTTGTGGAGAATTCCATTCAGTTTTCGAAGTAAACCCTTCGTAACATCATTATTCGCATATTTCATTGTGAATATTGTGACAGTCATTTGTAGCAGGGCCTTCCATAATTATTTCGCAGCTAAATATGTTTTCCATCTGGAAAGAATTACAGTTAAAGGCTTCATTTGCTTCTACTCCAGGACAACGATTTTAAGAATGAATATTATGGAAAATAGAAGTAAACGTCGTTCAACATAATTTGATAAACGGAAGTTAGAAGTGAATCAATACATAAAAGGATGCACTCAGTTGAAGTGGAATCGAGGCCAACTGTAGTGGCAGATAGGTCTCTGGGAGATAAACGCAGGGTTGCCTTCCGCGGTACATATACCATTGAATGGTGCCCTCATCCACGTATGTATGTGTCTGCAGTGGGCCGCAGTGAAGAGACAATAAAGACGAGTTATATAGTGCACGGTGTGGGGACATTGCCACAGTCTGGCTGATGTGTACATCGTGTATAAGTGAGGCAAGGTACAGAGAGGAGGAGGGATTTGCCGTGATCAAAGAGTCTTGTCATTATTCATGCATGATCAAGCGCCAGTATGTCACCACACTGAAACCCCCTGGTTTTATTTTAATTTGAGAATTGAGGTGCTATCGAACTAATTTATGCACATTAGGTATTAATTTCAGTCTTGAGTCTTGCGCTTGTGCTTGACTCAAGATATTGATAAGATGAAAACGAAGAAGCCCATCGTCTCATGATTAATTAATAAGGAATCACTTCAACACTGTTGAATGAAGAGGCAGTCTGAATTCTTGAGTATTCGGTTTAATATCAATATCACAAATTACATAGCGTAAAAATTAGATCATCGAAGCTTCTAATTTTATGACATAAAGTAATCAGTGTTGCCGGGCTGAGGTGAGCAATTTTGTCCCTCGGTATTGCTACTAGCAGGATGATGAAGCTTGGAATCCTGCTGGAGTGAAGTGATCTCGTTAAGAATGAGCTCCTGTATCTTGAGTCTCACGTACATCTGCCTTTCGAGTGGCAGACTGCGCATGGGACTCCTTACGCTCATAAGAAAATGATAAGTATCATCATCATTGTCATCCTGACACGTGAGTCGCCTTTGAATGACTTCATAACGCTTACGTTCAATGCTCTGATAGTCGCACTCGAGTGGATCCACGAGGACTCGCTTCCTCGACATTCTTCCACGTTTGCGAATGGGGATGCCACCCTGTTGTATAACATCATCACCGGTGAGCATTGATTGGCACGAGTCACCATCAACGAGATCGTCAAAGTGCGCCTCACCATCGCCCTCGAGTATATCGATCTGTGGCTCTATCTGTGTCTCCTCCAGGGAGGCCGCGTAATGCCCAGGTTGGTTTATGTTACATCCAATGACACGTGAGTTCATCTGATCCCGCAGGAAGTGCAAATTCTTGAACCATACCCATTTTGATTCGTGCTCAACACCCGAGGGAGAGCCACCGTCGCACGACTGCTTTCCTCGATATGTCTTCTTCAGTTCATTCCGGAAGTTGTCACGCAAGTGTTTCCATTTTGATTTAGCTACCTCACCTGGAAGATAATATCCAACGGTATTAACAACTAATCTCTGTTTAATTGAATTTTAACGACTTGGGTTTTCATATTTTTTGATAATGTTTGTGAATGATTTGATATTGAGAGGTAAAATGCGCTGGCTATCGCTGAAGATCAAAATTCACACCGTAATATACAAGACTATTTGTACTGGGTATTTATAGCTGACTCAGTGATAAAAATTGTATCCATGAGTTAAGTAGAAACATTCGTATTCTAATAATACTCACTCGAAACATCGCATGCCCTCGCTATTTCACCCCACATTTTGAGGATGACATCACGATTGTGATAATGAGTATTTTTCTGATCCCAAATAGCCGGACGGGCCTTCACTTCGGCAATGAGTCTCTCCAGATCCATTTGCCCGGACTCGATTGACTGGGATACAAGGAACAATGTATCCAGGATACTCCCAATTTCTCAAAACCAATATCTTATATTTGCAACAGTAATTGTTACAAAGTAATCATCCCGAGGACAGTAAAAAATAAATGATTATCCGAATATTTTTGGACAGAAGGTCGCAGCCTCAATTCCAATAACCACTTTTCAATTAAAAAATCATTCGCTCAATTAACAGATCCGTTCCGGTAATAAAGACTCGAATGCAAATAACATTCAGTTGAAAAACCAATTGAAATTTCAATTAGCAACTTGTTGCCCCAGCGAACTAATGATCAACACAAAAATATTAATGACTGAATGACAAAAAAAAAATGCGCGAAAAATATAGTGTGGGACGCTACGATCCAGGCAGGAAGCAGCTTGGCTTTGTACTGTACGTTGCTCTACAGCTCGGGTATTTCGTTGCGTACCGACGCCGAGCCGAGCCGAGCGTGCCGCCTCGCTCCTTACCCCTCATCGCTCTCTCTCCGTTATCACCGTATAAACGCGTACCCAGTGCCTCGTGCGCTCTGTCTCCAGTGTTTTCACCTGTATTAGTGTGCGCGCGCGTTACCGCGGCCTCGGACACACACACACACACAGCGACCGATTGGTTGTGTGAACCGCACACGAGCGAGGCTGGTGAAATCGTTAAGGCGACGCGGACTAGCTGCGTGATTACGCTCGGCTCGGCGCCGCCCGGCTCAGCTCGGCTGGACTCGGCCAACACCGATGGCACACAGTCACAGAGACGTTGAACCATGCATTTTGCGGATATTTTTTTCTTTCGAAGAAACATTAGGCATCTTCTGGGCTCGTTTGGTCTTGCTTGAGTGAGGTTTTTTTCTCTCGATGGGTGGAATGAAGGGACAAGCAGGATGAAGAATGGAGGTAGTACACGCTTCACCTATGTCCTACCCAGACAGACACCCAGGACGAGGCCGCTCGATAACGTTACTGCTTTTCTATCTTCCTTCGTTATTCTCCTTCCACCTCTTGTTCATTTACTTACGCGTTGTATAGGATTATAAGGAGTAGTCAGAGTGTTGCAAGTTTGCAGACAATGTCGTGAACATATTTTAGAGGTGATTGACTGGGATAGGCGAATTTACAAATATTAAATTATGATGAGATTCAAATTTGAAAACTCAGTCGTCAATTTTAAGAATAAGTTTCACTATTTTATTTCCATTTCCCTAATGAATGAACCCTAATTTTTTCCATTAATATTCCTGACGCTGATTGTTATTTCAAAGTCATAAAAAATATTATTTCTGTCATTTTACCTCATTCCAACTTTTCCAGAAATTGTCTTCTCGTTTTCCTCGATAAAAGAATAACAACCTCATTTCCTTTATTCTCCTGTCCCCATTGTTATCATTTCAGTTTCACTGCTCATCGAATCCGACCCCCAACAGTGAAATATAGTATCGATACTGTCATTGATTGTGTTTCAACCGAGCGTTTGAAATTGCTTTCAGCTCGGAGTACATGCGCGGAATAATTAGAATAACTCGTGCGACTCTCACGAGTGTATTTAACTACACCCAGCATTCATGAGCTACATTCCAGAAATTCAAATTGTTATGTTGGAGGGAACTATCGAATGTTCAATTACTCCCATCTCTAAACACAGCGATAACGATCATTCACTGGGGGATGGTTTTTCCGAATTTCCCACTGATTTGCTGCCCGATTTGATGATTCCCGGAGTTATTTCCCCGGAAAAAATTTCCTCGTAAAAAATTTTCCGCAATTAACTCCCCCGACGGATTCATATAAATGTCGCAGGAATTATCAATATCGATTCAATTTATTACTTCCCTCAATCAGAACGGAACATTTTCAAAGCAATTTCTTTCCATAATTCGAGTCAATCTCTTATGCATATAATTAATTGATAATTAATGAATTACATGACATTAAAATCGTTAGTAGATACAGAATCAACATTCACTCGGCGAAAGAATTCGATTTTGCCGAAAGTCGCCTTTCCCCCGGGAAAAATGCAAGATCTGACACTGGCCCCGGGTAAAAAAAAATTTTTTTATATCGAGTTTTCTCGCGCCTCCGAGGGTTTCATTGGCATTAGAGGAGCCAATGAGTACGGAATTAACATTCACTTGGATAAAAAATTCGATTTTGACGAAAGTCGACTTTCCCCCGGGAAAAATCCACGATCTAAAACTTTGGCCCCGGGTGAAAAAAAAAATTTTATTTCGGCAATTCTGGTGCCGCCGAGGGTTTCATTGGCATTTGAAGGGCCAATAAATACGGACTCAACGTTCACTTGGCGAAAAAATTCGATTTTGGCGAAAGTCGACTTTCTCCCGGGAAAAATCCAAGATCTGACACTTTGGCCCCAGGTGGAAAAATTTTTTTCAGTTTTCACTTTTTCCATATACTTTTGAGAGTTCTGAATAGCCCGTCGCTTAAATAGTTGGAATCAACGTTCACCCGGCTAAAAAATTCGATTTTGGCGAAAGTCGACTTTCTCCCGGGAAAAATCCAAGATCTGACACTTTGGCCCCAGGTGGAAAAATTTTTTTCAGTTTTCACTTTTTCCATATACTTTTGAGAGTTCTGAATAGCCCGTCGCTTAAATAGTTGGAATCAACGTTCACCCGGCTAAAAAATTCGATTTTGGCGAAAGTCGACTTTCCCCTTGGGAAAATCCAATATCTGATACTTTGGCCCTCGTGACCCTTGTGACCCTTTGATCGACTTTCCCCCTGAAAAAATCCAAGATTTGACACTTTGGCCTCCGGTGAAAAAATTTTTTTTTCAGTTTTCACTTTTTCCACATACTTTTGAGAGTTCTGAATAGCCCGTCGCTTAAATAGTTGGAATCAACGTTCACCCGGCTAAAAAATTCGCTTTTGCCGAAAGTCGACTTTCCCTCGGGAAAAATTCAAGATCTGACACTTTGGCCGAGTGCAAAACTTTTATTTGGACTGACAGTGGTAGTTCAAAGTTTTCGATGAAGATCAATTGTCTGATGGATTTCTATTTCCATCCGACGTATTATCGAATGCTGGGGATTAGTACTCAATCAAAATCATATTTTCAAACTTCTCCTGAGTATTGCGAGGATGATTTATTCAATGTTATCAAGTACATTACGATTTACATCAAGAGATCCGTCCATTCATCTGTTGAGCGGGGGATTGGAATACTCGTTTGGTTAGACAGCCAATTATTAACTTCTTTGATTTTAAGCTGAGCTGTGCTGTTCATCTGATGCTCCATCTCTCGAAGCATTCGCTTCCGGAAGGTGATTGTTATGGCTTTCAGGGCGGCGTTGGCCACGGGGTCGACCAAGTGTCCTCGTAGTTTGAGAGAGAAGTTGCTGAGTGAAGGAGATTTTGATTAATTGATGGTCATGTTCATCTTCGTAATGATAAATTGAGTTTACGATCATGGGGTGAGTTGGAGAAATTAATATAGGCTTTGATTAGATTGTCACGGATGTGATTTTTCACAATTGGGAGATTATGCTTTACACTGTTAGAGGAAAATGAAAATTTCATGGAGAGACGATTATTGATTTTTAAGAGAATGATTGAGAGTTGATTGAGAATTAATAATTTTGGTAAATAACATCAGTAATTGTCACGATGTTGATGTCACGAATCAGAATTTTTTGTTTGCAAAGTACTCATTTATTCCTTTAATATGAAATGATCTTCAATTTAACTTGATGCATGTTCACTCCGAAATCACACACAGATTACGATAGAATACCCACCCAGCATCGACGATTTTCAGATACCGCAGATCCACCTTGCGCGCCTTGAAGTCGACAGAGGCCATCATCCCGATATTCAAATTGAGGAATTTACCTGTCAGACCCCCTTTACGTTTGTAGAAGAGATATTTCAGAGAGTAGTCGTAATCCACCTGAAAGCCATAATAATTGACTTCACCATTTGATTAATTTCACTGACGAAAAGGCTTACCTTTACTTCCTTCCAACTGAGCTGCACATCCACCTGTGACGAACTCTGATAGATGTGTTGAATGATGTCACCGGATCTTGTGATATCCGAGAGTCCGTGAATTAAGCCATTCCTAAGTTCAACTTTCGGTTTGAATCCGGGCTAAAAGATGAATTGAGTGTTTTAGAAACAAATGCGTTATCTCCAACAAATTTCATAATGCGAAGGATGAATTTCAAAATGTCATATGAAGTTAAATGGTAGAAAATCTGATGAATAAACCCTAGAATTTTTTTGTGAACATTTCACTCATGAAAAAGAAGTGTCAATTACAATATCCGGAACTGGCAGACTCATCGCAGGTAAATTCATCGGTTCCATGCCATGCGTCACCATGTACTTCTTGATAACCGGAAGGTAGTGATCAAACCACCGGTTGAGCTTGATCCTAGTAACTCGATGTCCTTCCCCAACCCTGAAATCGACGCAAATCCTGTTTAATCAGATCAATCGAGGGAGACGACTCCAATGAACGAAACTTACTTTCCATCCAGGCTATTGTCTTCGCGATGAATGCTGTCCCCATGGCATCCAAGCACAGCGACCGCGAAAATGAGAAACAAAATCTGGGAAATCATAGTTCCGTTGTAACTGAACGGTAGGCCGATGGTGATTTATTACAAAAAGCCCCTCACCATCGGCTTTTTATTCCGGAATCTTCGAGAGATATCTTATCTCGAGTTCTGAAGTGCTATTTGCACACCATTGATACTTCTCCAGTTGCTTCTGCGAGTCAATACATCCTCGAGGTTGAATGCAAAATCAAATAGAAAGCCCTGTGCACGAATTTGATCGGCTGTGATAAAGATTCAAGTGGATTATTTTGACGTTATTTTCGCTGATGTCAACCTGCTCTTGACCTCAACTCACCTTGGACCAACCAGTAGTGGCCGTCAACTGAGAAAGTTGTCGATGTCAATGGCCTCCAATCACTCTCACTATCCGTGAGGACAACAGTAGGATTTTACTCTCGATGACCTCGAGAAATCGAGCTTTCCATGTGCGAATGAGTTTCACTTTCACACTTCTGACCCAGTGACCTGAAAAATTCAATATTCTGGACGACTTTCTGTTGGTTCAACACCTTTCGCCCGGGAAGAAGTGTTAACCCGAAATACAGATTTCACTTTTGATTTCTCTCCAAGTGAGATCCAATCATCGTATCTGTGTGGTCATGTTTATTGATGATTACGTCATTAATCATTTATATCATTTCCGCTCAAGGGTATTATGCGTTCTTCAGCACATCAGATGATGTTATGAGTTATTGTTCATTCGTTCAAACGTAAGAATCCGAGAATCTTTACTAAATTATAGTAATAAGGTGATAGATCATGTCTTTATTTCGTTGGTGATGAAATATTCTCAATTTAGGAATGTAATATTCTTCATTCAGGAGAAGTATATTTCTAAAGTGCTATCAGTATATTTATTCGATTAAGTATCTGCGATTTTTTTCCTCCAAATTTGAATTCAGTAGCGAAGCGGTAAACCGGGTTAAGTCGTTTTTTACTATTGGCTAGTTTTTGACGAATATCTCGGAATCTAAAAGGGATAGAAAGATTTTTGTCATGACATTTTTTGTAGAGCCAATAGAGCGTTATAAAAAAAGTCATGAGAAAAATTTTGCTATCTCTCTTAGATTCCGAGATATTCAGCAAAAACTGGCTAATAGTCAAAATCGACTTAACTCGGTTTACCGCTTCACTACGGAATTTGAAGGACATCCCACGACATGAAAGGCAACTCCGCATTCACTTGCTAGCAGACGATAAGCATTCAGTTACCAACTGACGATAAAAAAATCATGCGTAATTCAAAGTTTCATTGTGTCTATTCACTCTAATTCTTCATTTCCACAAAATTACATGATCACTTGTTTAAAATTATCCGCCAATGACTCGATAATGACATCAGCTCCCGCGTCCCCACGCCGGTAGTTTGATAGACAGCTGATACGGCTCCGGAATCAAGTCATTGATCTCCTTGATCTTCTCCTGAAGTCCTAACTCAAACCTGTACTCAATTTCTCGAATGACCAAGTCTCTGCAGAATACAGTTACGCCTTTCGTAAGAGCATTTAGAACGTGATCGAGTAAGTGGCCGTGGATCTTGAGCGAGAAGCGACTGGAATTGAGTGATACGAGATTACCAATCTTTATCTTCTCGTGTTGCGCCAACACTTGATAACAAAAATATCTGGGTGTCAACAACATGAATTTCAGACTAATTAAGATAATTACCCAATGTTGGTGATTTTGAAGAATCGTAAATTGATCTTGTGAGTGCTGATGTTGAAGGAGCCGATAACTTGGACCTTGACATCATCGAAGCGCCCATTGAAATCACCCTTGCGGGTGAAGAGAAGGTATCGCAAGGTGTAGGCGTAGGTCACCTAAGAGTTCCCATCGTCATAAAACAATTTACAAAGAGTAAGGAAAACGATAAAGATATGAAGATTGTTACGTCTAAGTGGTCCCAACTGAGCGCTGCATCGAACTCAATCATTTTATTGCTATAGCGAACGATAACATCACCATTTCGTCGGATTGTTGAGCCCTGTTGAGTCCAACCATGCTGTAACTGGATTTTCGGGTTCAATCCCGGCTAGAATTTTAATCAAGAGTTACTTGTCATCATTTGGAGATGTCCATATCAGGCATTGAATTGAATTGCATTGAAAGCCTTTCATTATACATAATTTGCGTTAAAAAACAAAATGAAAGGTAAAGATTTAAATCTGCAATTAGTCGAAAACACTTTGATTATTTACATAATCCTTTGTATCAAATTGACTTTAGTCTTGATTATTTGGTATGTGTCATATTTACGATGTAACCGACGGATAGGATTTGATCTGGCATGCTGAGAGGGTCCAACCTTGCCTTGACGATCGCTTCCCGAATCAAGGGAAGGGATTTGTCGAAGAGATCATTGAGGTCCACCTGAGTTACTTGCTTCATCTCGGAAAGATCGCTTCAAAAAAAAAAACACAGATAGAATATTGTTCTCTCCAAGTCCTAGAGTGCTCATCAGTTGGAAGAATGGAGTCAATTGAACAGAACTTACCCTTCCCCTTCATCGACTTCAGGATCAACCGGATAATCGTAACCCTGAACTTGACCCCCCAGGGCCACCAAAACAATCACTGCACTCCAAAGAATCATGCTGTCCGCATCAAGTGAAAGAGCTCGATTTAAGCAAAGACTGCAAACGTGTACTAAGGAAATAGCCCATCGACGAATTTTTAATACATGTAACTCGTATCTTATCTGTTCATTTATAAAACGTGCCACTGGTCGATTGCCCACTCTACTTTGATCTCAGTGGTCTTCTATTACGAACATCATCGACATTTTTCCCTCACTAGCTATTCAGGTATGCGATCCAGATCTTCCGATATCGACAAATCAAGATAATGTTTTGTTTTTCAAAGGGTGGTTGATACACTGATAGAGACTTTGAGTCCTCATCGCTCAGAATTGATCAACGTCTCCGATAACAGATTAATAATCAATGATTTCGTGTGCCAAAGCATTCGAACAGCCAAAAGTGAGACTGTCTTCAGTCGGCGTTATGTAAACCGAGCTTGACCTTGACTTTTTGAGAAAGCCAGGGTCCAATGACCTGGGGATCACTCTCACTCTCAGCAAAACCCTGATTCCACTCTCCATGACCTCGTGAACGAGATTTCTCAGGAGCTAGTGAGTTTCACTTTCCCGGTTTTTGACCGAGTGCTCTGGTGACCTGCAATACGAATGCGAACGCTTTCTCTGGATCTGAGGCATGTTTTTTGGGGGCACGAGGTATCGAGGTCACTTCTTATTTGAATTGGCTTAGGTGGTTCAGAGCCTTGATTTGTTAGTGAATGATCCTGCAATTTCGAAATATTAGAGGCATTTTTCCTTATGATTGAGAAGCCTGATCATTTCGATTTCTGGAGAGCACTCGCATCATTCCTCATTCTGAAACTATGATAGTTCCAAGTCTGTTGATCACGGATGAATTCAAACAATTATCGATTAAGAATTTCGAAAAGAATTGTATTATACAAAACATAGATCCGATCAATTAGCCCCTCATGTATAGATATTCCAAATTTTTATTTTTTTCCTCATTGAAGTAGTTTTGAAGAAAATTGCGAGCTAATAAAAAACATTTGCTAGTTAGTACTTTTTTTAAAATAAATTTTCGAAAAATCACCCCTGAAAAAAAAGGCGTTATCATCCCCCCTATTTCATTATTTCCAAAAAAATTTTATCACCAATCGGTAGCAAATTGTTTGAAAATTTTTGCGAGTTAAGAAAAAATCGTCAATGCACTCCTATTATTG